TTTACACATGATTTCCTTAAATGCTCCACTCCTTAAATGCTCCATTCTCTGCTTCTCCTGATGAGAAAACTACATATTACTACAGCACACAGCATTTCCTAAATCTACACGGCCCTAATAAAATAACGGAAAGAAGAACTCAACATCTCCCTTGTCTCATATCTCTCTTCTTCCTTATCCACATTTAATGGGTGAAAGGTAATATAATTTTATAAAGAGGTATAACAGTTAATTGCTTCAAATTCTGAAAGATAATCAAGAACAAGGAACTGCAAAAAATTATTCAGGATTTCAAAACTAAAACTGAAAACAAGATTGTGTAAGACAATTATATGCTTTTCTTTCTTTTTTTATTTAAAAATCAACCTTAAGTGTTCAATGTGAAGTCAACGGCTTTCACGGCCAGCATCCGTAGGTTTTTGTGTTTTTTAAGCCTGTAAGGCTGTGTTCTAGAAGAATGTATTCCTAATGTTTTGCCTGCATCTGTGGCTGCCATCTTCAGAGAATGGCGGCACGGAGGTGTGTGTGTGTGTGTGTGTGTGTGTGTGTGTGTATATATATATATATTGTGTGACCCTTGGCTGAGGGTCAACCAAGGGTCACACTGTATATATACCCCAGATGCAGGCAAAACATCAGGAATACATTCTTCTAGAACATGACCTCACAGCCTGAAAACCCCACAAAAACCTTAAGTGTGTTTCTTTTGTTCTGTGACAACATTTTATGCCATTACCAGATAAAAACTAGCAGATTGACTCAGCAATGGATTTATATCAAAGAATATAAATATAAAAAGAAATCAAATTTCTTACATATAGTTATAGCACCCAAGCAAAATAATTAACAAAACACCACAAAGAAAGAAAGAGTAAAAGAAGACAGAAGTACAGACATAATAGCTCTTACCGCAATATTTCCACATGTCTGGAAAGCAGTGAACATAAACATAAAGGCTGTTCCTAAAACAATGATGTTCAGCTGCTTTTTTGATTCAGAATTCATTTTGTTGTTTTCTGCGTCTGGAGGCAGGAACTACCGTAAATGCACTGTACTATCTTTAAAGCTTCTTTCTCTTTCTAGGTTTCTGCCAAGACAATACAAAAAAGGACCACAATAAATAAAGCTGCAAAGTGAATGTAAGCTGAGACTATTTACAAACATAATAACAACATACAGTAACAGCAGGAAAACACACTGGCCAATTAAAGATTACAGAGTTTCTCTCTACCTTTCACACACAGAATAACAGCAGACTCCCCATAAAGAAGAAACATTCTGACTCTCAGATGATCTTCTTGGCCACTTCACCAAGTGAATGGGTTTTTTGCCCAAAAGATGAAAAACCACCTGACAAAAGGAACTCTGAAACACCGAGAATTTCCATTTATTCAGGACAGGAAATACAGACCAACTCACAAGTCAGGTCAGCTGATCAGGTGACAGAAACTCCTGTGAAGTCTGGGAAATGCAGTTCTACATAGTCCCTTACTTACTAAAAACAGGAAGAGCAAGCACATGGCTAGCACTGGTGATGACCTCCTTCAGTGATGCATTTTAAAAGGACTTTTCCCTTTAAGGAAAAATAATGTCTGATTCAAGGAGCTGTATAATCTCAATCGTGGTTTTAAGGTAAACAGGGCTGCAAATTTTTCTTCTCACTGTCAAATCCTCAGGAAAGATTATTTAGGGGG